GCAAGGGTCCACTGTATGTGGGTTTCCAGGGACCCTACCTTCCCAGAGTATGGGGTATTGGAGGACCCTGCTCTTAATTCCAGCAATGCCCTGAGACCTTCCTTCCTCCACATTTGCCTCTGGCTCTCTGTCACCCATTAAGATTGTCTCTGTAAGTTCTCATGAAGTCTAAGTAGCTTCTGCTCTCACCGCCTCAGTAGTAAAATGAAACAAAGCCATGGGCTCTGGGATCACTCCGGCCATCACTTAGGAATGTGTCACGTTAGGCAGTTACAGTAATCTCGTATCTCCCTACCTTGATTTTCCTCTGTGGAAAGCAGAGATGTTGACAGTACTACTTCACACACTGCTTAGGGAAATCAAATGAGATAGCACGGGGGCCAGGGAGATAGCTCGGTGGTCTAAGCACCTGCCTGGCAAGTGCAGGGACCTGGGTTCCATCCCCCTACAGCATGCTGTGCTGGCCCGGCGATGAGCCAGGCCATGAAACCCGACATGGTGGCGACATCTGTAATCCTCAGCCCTGGGCAGGCTGAGACAGGAGGATCACTATGAGTCCGAGCTGTGTAGACCCTGTACCAAATCAATAAATCTCTAAAAACAATGAGAAAACACATATATAATATTTAGCACGGTGCTTGATGTGGTTCTGCAGTAAGCTGTCTAACTGTTATTTCCTTATTTTTTCTTCCAGTGTCCAGTTCAATAGTTTCATTAGGATTAGTTTTCTGTTCACCTTTAAAACTCAGCTAGAGGGTAGCCCCTGACACCATCATACATCAACTTTATCTTCTAATAATTTGAGATTAATAAAATAAACTTTTCTAGTAAATAGTTTCTAGCGGATCATCAGGGCTTCTTAGAAAGACTAGAGTCCCCACACCTGAAGGGATTCTTTATTACCCACCTTTCCACCCGGCCCCAAGCTGCTCCTGTGGTACCGAGAGCCCTTTCGGGGCGGGCCTTGCCTCCTTCCAGGAGGAAGCGGCTGGAGGATGTACTGGCATAGCCAGAGGGCAAGTGGCCTCTCGCTGGAAAAAGAAAGCGCCAGCCACCCAACCCTTCTTTCATCCTGTGGGGTCCGTGGCAACTGGCTCTTCATTTGTTTCTGGGCTCTTGGAGCACACTGAGCGACTCTGTATTAGCAGTCATTTCTTTTTTTTTTTTTTTGGTGGAACCGGGGATTGAACTCAGGCCCTTGCGCTTGCCAGGGAAGC